GTGGTCAAGTTTCAAGTAAAATACATCCGCAGTAATTTATAGATATGGTGACTATCTGATTTGTATGCACTGTTTATTTGGCTATTAAGTTTCCCAGAGAGTGGAAAACTAACTAACTAGACCAATTGTGTGAACCTAATTGTGAGTGTATAAAAGTGTTAAGAGAGATGTTTTAATATCTTGGATTTGATCTTAAAGGGATAGTTCACCCAAAAATGAAAATTTGATGTTTATCTGCTTACCCCCAGGGCATCCAAGACTTTGTTTCTTCAGTGGAACACAAACTAAGATTTTTAACTTTAACCGTTGCAGTCTATCAGTCGTATAATGCATGGCAATGGTAACAAAATCTATGAGAGTAAAAAAAACATGTACAGACAAATCCAAATTAAACCCTGCGGCTCGTGACGACACATTGATGTCCTAAGACACGAAACGATCGGTTTGTGCCAGAAACCGAACAGTATTTATATCATGTTTTACCTCTAATACAGCACTATGTCTTTGAGCGCGCGCACGGCATCCGGTGCGTGAGGTAAACATCACATTTTCATTTTTGGGTGAACTATCCCTTTAAGTACAGAATGATTATTTCCATGTGTGCCATTAACATATTAAACAGTGCATATATTTATTTACTAATACATGTAAACATTGCTGTTTATGTCTATGTATTGTAATAGGTTGTGCAAAAAAATTGTTTTAATTTAGTGAGGGAATTAATTAGTCAACTTTGCACTATTTTAACTTAATTGTAGAATGTTTGTTTTGGTCAGAATTTTTCAAACAAAAAAGATTGACCTTCTAATTAGGTTATTATTAATGGGCGAAAAAAATAAAAAAAATAAATAATGAGATATATTTTTACTATACGGCTCAGTCAAAAAGTGAGTCAGGACCAGTTTTATTTTAACACTGGTAATATTTTAAATTTGATTTCATTTTTATACTTTCGGTTTTCATTTTTAATTTATTTAAAGTTTTAGCAATTTTGCTGTGTTTTTGTCTTTATTTTGAATTGAGTTTATTCAATTTTAGTGTATTTTGTTTTAGTTATGGTAGTACTTCAACTCAAACTTGTTTTTTTTCCCAGCTAGTTGCTAAGGCAACATTTCTTATTTATGTTTAGTTACATTTTTTGTAAGAATTTTAAATATTACAATTTTAGGAGATTTTTTAAATTTTTTTTTCACGTAATGCATTTTTAAAATGTTTTTTTGGTTTAGTTAATGATAATAACCCTGGTTAGGATGTGATGTGACAAGTTGTGGAATCAGATTTCCATGAGGCATCAGTAATACGGAGTTGAAAAACTGTTGGACGTCTTACTGTCTTCATCAAAAGGAACCGGTCGGCAGTAGATGACGAGGTCTGACAGCTCTAAAGCAATCTTCTTTCTTCTTTCCATCATTTTACCCTCCTCAAGCTGATGAAGAACAAATAATCATTAGTCATAAAGAATATCATACAGCCTACGTGTCCAAAAGCAAAACAATTCTTAGGAAACTGCATGCATTGATTCGTAAGCGCACGCATTCAAGAAAGCTGAGCAGAGGTTTGGTAACAGGTGGTGACAGGCAGCTCCTGTTTTACTGGAGAGGAAGGCAACATTTCTTATTTATGTTTAGTTACATTTTTTGTAAGAATTTTAAATATTACAATTTTAGGAGATTTTTTAAATTTTTTTTTCACGTAATGCATTTTTAAAATGTTTTTTTGGTTTAGTTAATGATAATAACCCTGGTTAGGATGTGATGTGACAAGTTGTGGAATCAGATTTCCATGAGGCATCAGTAATACGGAGTTGAAAAACTGTTGGACGTCTTACTGTCTTCATCAAAAGGAACCGGTCGGCAGTAGATGACGAGGTCTGACAGCTCTAAAGCAATCTTCTTTCTTCTTTCCATCATTTTACCCTCTTCAAGCTGATGAAGAACAAATAATCATTAGTCATAAAGAATATCATACAGCCTACGTGTCCAAAAGCAAAACAATTCTTAGGAAACTGCATGCATTTTAGATCATTTGATCCCTTGATTCGTAAGCGCACGCATTCAAGAAAGCTGAGCAGAGGTTTGGTAACAGGTGGTGACAGGCAGCTCCTGTTTTACTGGAGAGGAGGGTTGTGACGGTGAGGAAATTTTCCCACCGGTTAATCGACGTGTGACAACACCGATAATACCGGTATCACCGCGGGGGGCGGCGGCGTTCCCTCTTTTCCTCGCTTTCCTTCGCTTTTAAATAGCTTGTAAAAGCACCATGTGCATTTTACTTTCACTTTTGAATTAGCAGCAGGTCGGCGTCAATTGGTTGGTGAATGCAACAACAAAATACAACGTCAAACTTACTTTAGCGTATATATAAAACATATAACTTTTATCAACAAAACAAATAAAAATACACCATGCTATAAAGCAGGCTATGCCTAATATAAAATAACAAATAACTTGCATAAAGTTTAATAGGTATACAAAACTGGAAATGAGTAAACGTATAATATATAACCAAATAAATAAGAAACGTAGAAGGTTTATTAGCAAAACGAGTAAGAAAGCTTGGAGGCACGGCATACACCTGATGTCAAATAAAATAAATAAATGACCGTTTAAATGAAGTAAAAATCAGAAAACAATGTGGAACCAATTAAATAAGAAACTAATGTTTAAAAACACTTCCAAAATCACCTTAGATAAACGGCTAAAATATTGCCAAACAGGCGCTTTTGCATCTCGTTTAGAAACTAAATCATCCGCGATCGTCTCCTCTGTTTCGCCTCGCCCGCCTCCTCTGTCTCGCCTCGCTCTTCTCGTCTGTCTGAAAGAAAGAGATAGATAGATAGATAATCCTTAGTTGAAATGAACATGAACGGAAATAAAATATTAACAAAATAAAATACAATAAAATATATACATAATAAACTATTAATTTTATTTAATTCATTTTAGTTTAGGAAAAAAGCTTCATAAAGTAATTTAAAAAAAAAACTAAAAGAAAACAAAAACAACAAAATTACTAAAACTTTCTCTAAAATTAAAATGAAATTAAAATTTTAAAAATAAACAAACTAAAATAGTATATAAATTATACTAAAATAGTTAGGGTTGAGCTATATTGTTAAAAAATACAGTATCTCATTATTGCAATACATGGAAAAAATAATAAAAAATTTTAATTTTAAATTTAAAATAATTATTATTATTATTAGTAGTATTATTGATAATAATAACAATTAAATCAATAATTTATTATTAATGAATAATTATTCAATTAATTATATATAGAGAGAGAAATATTTAGATATTTATTTCTGAATTATTAGGTAAAAAGTTAAAACAAAAAAACAATTAATCACGTTTATTTTAAATCTTCAGGCTGCTCTAATCTAAATTCAAACAATGTGTGTGTGTGTGAGTATGAGTGAGTGTGAGTGAGTGTGTGCGTGCGTGTGTGTGTGAGCATGCGTGTGTCTCTGTAAGGGCCTCACACAACGATGTGTCGATGAGTGTGTATCAGGGAAGAGGAACACACACACACTCACCGATCTGACAGGAAGACACGTCCATACTTCCTCTCAGGAGATCTCCCAGAGGACTGTTCTCTGTGGCCTGCTGAGCGAGAGCGAGAACAGGGGTAAAGGTCGGAGCCCAGAGCACCTCTGGCACAACACAACAACAACAAACACACACGCGCTCAACTCACTGATCTGTCAGGCTCCGCGGCCGTCGGGCTGATTTCCTCCACGTAATTCGCAGGGAACCACAGCTGCTTCTTGCCGCCATAGTCTCCCTTCCACCTGAGCGGAGAGCACAAACACACGGTTACTTTCAGGCTCCTCGTGGTGTGTGTGTGAACCAAATCAAGACTGAACACACAAAGCACCTAACGCAGGTAAAAACAGGCTTTGGCAAGGAAACTAGACTTTCTGGCTAGTGAGATATTAATGTTAGAAAATCAAGTGCACGGCATTGATCACAATATAAAAAAAAGGAAAGAATGTTTGATCCTTCAGTCCTCAACATAATGGCCCACAGCCAGCATAAAGGCCAGTTCACACTAACAACGACAACTATATTACCGTCCACAGCAGTGGACAACACTGTTTATTATAAGCGCACTGCAGTTTTATCATCTGCCACTTTAAAGTCAGGGCGATTCTGATTGGCTCTCAATGTTTTTAGCAAAAATCATTCCAATGATATTGTTCCTCTGTGTCATTATTGTTTATTATATGTATCGTATTAGATTTATTGATATCATTATCATTATAGGCGTGAATGCATCTCAGACGCCACTTGTTTTTAGTTGTGTTTACCCACCTATTCAGTGGCTTTATCTAGCACAGCGCCAGTCTCACTTCTGTATTCTAGAACGACTTCTTTATTTTGCAATTTCTGTCCCTTGTTTAGCACTAGATCTCTGTGTAATCTTACAGCCAAGCGACTCGAAAGAGCAGAACCTTCCCCTCCCCAAACGAAACGCTCACAAACTCACTCACTGTAGTGTGCACTTGGTGTGACCGACATAAACCCTATTCAGTCTGTTTTAACGCCAAATCAGGGTTATTACAGTTAAATAAAACTAAAACCATTCTAATAAACTTCCGTTACTTGAAATAAAATAAATGTTAACTGAAATAAAACAAAATATATATTTGTATTACTTACATTTTTTTTAAAATTCACATTTAAAAAAAACGAAGAGAAAAAAACTTTTGAGATAATATAAAGATTTAGATTATATTATGGAAATATAGAATTAGATTATATACATTAGAGAACTGTTTTTGGTGTTTTTTTTTATTTTATGTTTTGTTGATTGAAGTTGATTTGTGTAGCTTCTGAACAAACCAAAAACACTGCACCAAAAAAAGAAAGATGGAACAAACAATGTGACCCTGCAGCACAAAAGCAGTGTTAAGTCGCTGGGGTATATTTGTAGCAATAGCCAACAATACATTGTATGGGTCAAAATTATACATTTCTCTTTTATGCCAAAAATCATTAGGATATTAAGTAAAGATTATGTTCCATGAAAATACTTTGTTAATTTCTTACCGTAAATATATTAAAACTTAATAAAAAAAAAATATTAACATACATTATTAATATGCATTGCTAAGAACTTCATTTGGACAAATTGAATAAGTATCGCTTTTTATTTCTCCTCTTTCCTATTACTTGTTTCGCTTCGGTTTCAGTTTTTGTAACCATTTCTTACGATGTGTCAGTTGTTGTTTTTTAGCATGTGTGTTTGGCAGTGTTATTTTTTAGGATTACTGATAAACTACTGACATTTGATTTCTATTATTTGTATTTGTTATTTATTTTAATTTTAGTTACATTATGTCATGAATTTATCATGTCTGTATAGGTCTTTAAGTTTTAGTTTTATTTAATTTGAGCTATTTTAATACTTCAACAAACTAAATGGAAATGTTAAGTTTTGAAATTTTGTTGTATGCATTTGTCATTTTTATTTAATCTCTTTATTTTTAAAATGCGTATAGGTAGTATTTATAAAGTTTTAGCTTTTAGTTGTTTTAATACTACAATTGATTGCTTCTGTTGTCCTCATTTGTAAGTTGCTTTGGATAAAAGCGTCTGCTAAATGACTAAATAAATAAATAAATAAATTTAAAGGAGATTTTCTCAATATTTAGATTTTTTTGCACCCTCAGATTCCAGATTTTCAAATAGTTGTATCTCGGCCAAATATTGTCCTAACAAACCATACATCAATGGAAAGCTTATTTATTCAGCTTTCAGATGATGTATAAATCTATTTCAAAAAGTTGTCCCTTATGACTTATGGTTTTTGTGGTGCAGGGTCACTCACACTCACACACACACACACACACACACATATATTTGGACCTCAGGGTTCTTTCACGCTGAACTGGCAGCTGTATTTTGACAGCGTCTTGTACTCACCAGCCTCCTTCCTGTTTGTCCACGTTCTGAATGATGGTGTTCTTACTGAAGGAAAGTTCATCATCGCGCTGGGCTTTGTATTCATACATGGCTCGTACTGTGCACTGCTCTCACACACACACACACACAAACCTGTCATACACTAAAGTCAACAGCATGAGAAACTCATTTTGCAGCTAGAGAGCAGAGGTACCTTAAACGTGGGCATCTGATTGGCTTCCACATAGAATCCCGGGTTACGGCCCTCATACAGAGATCCATAATCAGGCTCCTGCACGCAGACAGAAAGAGAATGACTGACCTTTCACTTTATCTCAGTCCACACAATCACCGCCTGACAGTAAGCTGACTGACAATTAACAGGTAAATCTGAAAACCAAAACCACAATAATACACCGATCTAGCGCAAAACCTGCTGGTTCTTTCAAACAGCAGTTTCCAAGAAAGACTGTACAAAAAAAATGTATTCAAAAAACATAACCTTCTTGTTAAATGCCTTTTTCTTATTTCTAACTTCTAAGGAATAAGGTTAAGAATATTTTGCATTCTCAAAAATACTTCTTGAATCTTTTTTCTCACTACTGTTCTTAAAACAATTTAAGAATTCAAAATGACTTGAATATAATATTCTTAAAAAAAAATCACAGATAAAGACATTCAACAAATTTATTGAGATGCATCAAATTAATTGTTGTAATTAAGCATTAGAACAAAACACTAGCTACATATGATACATTTAATACTAATATTACCAATGAGCACAAGTCACAAATTATCAATAATGAACAGTTATCGGTCATGATTATTAGAGACAGACCGATATGGGTTTTTTGGGGGCCAATACCGATATTACGGAGTAAAAAAAAGACAGATACCGATATATCGGCCGATATTCTTTATGTGTAGGCTATATTATAGCACAGTATAGTCAAAAGTTTGGCATTTTGCCGATACCGATATATCTGCGACAGCCTCATATCGCCCGATAATATCGGCTAAACGATATATCGGTCAGGCTCTAATGATTATGCATGACCTAACTTTTTGTTGGATTTGAGATTCAGTAACGGCTTTATGAAAACGTCAAAAAAAAAAAAAAAGACCTTGTTTTTCATTTTGTAATTGTTACAGCATAAATTTCGTCTTAAAGCACAACTAGAGTTATTTTCTGTCACACTTTATTTTAAAGGCAAAGTTCACCCAAACATGACAATCCTGTTGTTCTGTACTCATTTCAAACCAAAACTGTACACCTGACTTTCTTCTGTGGAACAAATTATATTTTGAGAAACGTACATAAGTGCTTTTATTTTTGTCCATACAAAGGAAGTCAGTGGTTTAACGAGACCCTTATATCTTCTTTTAAAATATCTTGTTTTCTGAAAGTCATTCAGGGTTGGAACAACATTAAGGTGAGGAAGTGATTTTTCATTTTTAGGTGAACTTTCCCTTTAATCACAGATTAGATGTTAATCCAGATCCACTCACCGCAGTGCCGATCTTCTCCAGTGTTTCCTCATTGATGGGGTAGCGCAGCTTCATCTTACGGTACAGTGGATGTTTCTCATAGTAACTGATTAAATCTACTAAACTGTCAAACTCTGAGGTGCCCAAAACCACCGTCTGTCCCTCCTGCTGCACGCGGCAGTGCTTTATCTTGCCCTCCGCCCTGAGAGAGACAGACGAGAGTATGTAGAGCTGCAGAGACAAGCACACAATACAACATGAGAGCGGGAGCCTGGATCTCACCGGAAGGAAATGGCGAAAGAGTTGAATTCTGTTCTCTTCCTAACGAGGAAAGCGCCGTCACGCGGGACTCTCATCAGCATGTTTTCAGCCTGACTGCGGGACAGAGACGCGTGATACCACCTGCACAGAAAACAACTAATTAAATTCACAGTTGACAGCATATCAATATTTGCTGAGAAAAGGCCCCAAATAAAGATAATTGAAACTAAGACATTATTATAACACTTAAAAATGTGACAACTATTAAACAAGCAATTTTAATATATTATTTTTATACTATTTAGCATATTTATTGGCCATTGTATATTACAACTGGCCATAACATAAAAATAATTATCTACCAATAAAACTTCCTGAGGCTTTTTCAAACCGTTATTGTTTCAGCCCAGAATTGAATCAGATATTTTCTTTCTTTCTTTTTTTTTTTTTGCTTATTAATTCATAATTATTCTCAATTCAAACCGTATGCTCTATGTTTCAAAAGTACTACACAATTATCCATCCGCAGTACTGTATATTATAATTTCCTGACGCATGATAGAAATAACAGTTTGTGATCATTTTGACCAAAACTCTCATAGCATCCCTATTCTTAAAGGGACAGTTCACCCAAAAATGATAATTCTGTCACTTACTAGCCCTCATGTCATTCCAAACCTGAACGACTTTCTTCTGTGGAACGTAAAAGATGATATTTAGAGAAATGTCTGGAGGGGTTTTTGGTCTATGCAATGGAAGTCAATGGTAACCAAAACAGTCTGGTTACCAATATCCTTTAACCAAAGAAAGTAAGTTACTTAGAAGGACATGAGGGTGAGTAAATGAAAGGGTGCACTGTCTCTTTAAGTCCTTTCGGCCATCAGCTGGACCAGATGTGAGGTGGATGTGGGACTCACTCTTTGCTCTCGTGAGCGTTGGTTTGTGGCACTGGCTCGGTCAGCTTCATCTCAAACTCATTGCAGCGCAGAGGCACCTGCTGGTAATGTGTGATGAGCGCGAACAGCGTGTCGAACACCAGGTTATCCGTCAGGTAGAACTTGGGGCTGCCGGCCTCCTGCCGAGAGTGAATCCTGCAGTGCTGAACCCGACCGGACCGCCTGACCAGCAGAAACCATCACAAAATCAACCAAAGCACGATGCAGAAGCGCTCTTATTTTACAGCCAATTCATGAGTAAACCATCAGTCCACTGCTGCTCTGAGAAGAGGATGAGGTAAAGCTGGTGCTGTTACCAGAAGGAGAGTGTGTAGTCTCCCACAAACGTCTCGCTCTCCCGCACCAGGAACGAGCCGTCGGGCGCGCCGGTCTCCAGGCAGTACTCCGACAGCAGACGCTCGGCGATCTGACGCCCGTCTCGCCCCGCTCCCAGCTTCCCGTGAAACCACTTCTCCGTCACATGCTGGTCCATGGCGTTACTGACCTAAAGAACATGAGGAGGTAACACTGAACAGTAGCAGTCAACTGCGGTCAGATGGGATGCTGTCAGGCTGTATGTCAGTAAAAAACTATTTTCCTGTCAGCCGTTATACTGCGCTCATTAGGGATGCACGATATTGGATTTCTGCCGATATACCGATATTTTTCAACTGATTTTGGCAGATACCGATACCAATATATTTCCTTTTGTTTGGAAACAACACCAAGTCTCTCCTGTGCAGAAATTATAAGCAAAATATTTTTTTTTATATGTTTTTAACAAGAACTTATTTGCTAGAATTAAATAAACAAAAATGAAGATTTTTTTTGACAGTACATCGAAGCTTTGAAAACAACTATAGGCCTAAATAAACTATATATCAATCGCTGCATTTCTTTTGTCCCAGAAAGATGCAGTGTAAACCCTAACATTTTATTTTTAAATTTAACATTTGTAGATGGTCTAAAGCAAAATTCTGAAAATCTTTTAAAGCTTATGATTTGTTTAAAAAATAAAACATACTACATATTAATGAATAAATCGGTATAAAACTATTTAATTTACAAGTGTCATGTTTGTGATTTAAGCTATAGCTTCTTAAATACTGCTTTAATCAGAAACAGTCTAAAATGTTATTTGTGTAGGCTATTTTCCTTTTAATTTAATTAGAAGTAGGCCAACAGCGCCTCTCGGGCGTTAGGACCCAGGGGAGGCTGTCACTGCCGCTGCACGTGCTATTACGGTTTACTCTATCACGCACCAAACGCGTCATTCTGTACGTGCTTTCACAGATTAAATGCAGCAATCCAAAACAGTGAATCTAATCATCATTCAGACAAAACTTTGCTTCAAGAATGAGCCACACTGCTGACCGCTAGCACACCCTGAGCACATGCGAGTTAACGTATTCCTCTTATCGGCAAGACATATCAGCATCATTTTTCATAGCGGGACGATGCCAATATTTACATTTAAAGCCATTATCGGCCGATTCCGATATAGGGCCAATAATATCGTGCATCCCTAGCGCTCATAGCACGTGCCCTTCAAATGCACGCACAAATGAAGTGGCGCACGCTGGATATAATTTCATATTAAAGCGCGAAAGAAACTACGAGCATGCAGTGTTGTTTTCCAAACTGTCCAAAAAGGTTTTCCAAACTGTCCTGGAACAGCAACACTGTCTCCCTCATCTAACACACCCGATTTAACTCGTCAGCTCATTATAGAGACTTTAAGAGCTGAAGTGGGTCAGAAAAGGTAAAGAGTTATGAGAAAGTATGATGCGTGTCAGATCCACGTCATGTTCAGCAGCGGCCAAAATAACCTCATAACAGCTGCTGTGATGTCTGTTCATCAAAGAACAAAAGAAAAAGTAGTGTTTGATAACTTAATATTTCCAACTTGCTGAAGGGCACAGGTAGCTAAATATGGCATTTATTATAATGGGTTTATGTGAAGATTGTTTTAATTTCACTTAAATTAGAAGTTGTTATTTTATAAAGTCTTTTAATGTTAAAATTGATAGCTCTCAATTATACTGTAATGTTGAATGGTTAAATATTAGAGACAATCAAAGAGACATCAGTAGTATGCATAAATCATAGCCTTTTGAAGGTTAATTAATGATCAAATTACACCAAACCGTGATTCCTGTTTGTCTGTCCCCAATGATTATCAAGACTTCGAGTTATACCATAAAGGCACTTGACTTTTAAAGACCATGAATTGAATAAAACTGAATTTTCTGCAACTCGCGGGGGACCCTGACGCTACACTTATTTGAGAGCACCTGAATGACCATTACACTGCAGTCACGTTAGCAGTGCTGCTGTTATTCCTGAGATTGTGTTTTCCTCACCTCTCTGTGCTCCTCCTCATCCTCGTTCCCTTGATTACTTGACGTCTCTTCAGAGTAATAGATCTTATTGCTGGTCAGGACAAAGAAGTGAGGATACCACTCCTGTGAGGACAACAGTGAACATCCACGATGAGCCTCAACAATCTGCCGTCAGATTTAATGTCTCTAAACGAGCAGATGAAGGTGAGCTCACGTGGTTGATGGGATCCTCCAGGTACAGGATGCCGTTCTTGATGGAGTTGCTGATGTCGTTCTCCGAGTAGGGCGTTGAAGACGAGACCTCCTCGTACGCACTTCCCTCAGCTAATTTCTTGTGCTGAACACATCAATCCAACAATGAATGTTCTTAGCTGAGAAAATCTTAATGATGGCATTTCCTGCCATGTAGCCAATGGGCTCTCACCTTGATCAGGATCTTCCTCTTGAGCTGATTGGGCGAGGGGAGACCGTCGGCTGAGATGTCCACCGCTTTGGTCAGGAGCATCTCTCCAAACACTTTCTTAAAGTAGGTGGCCATATTTCTCTGCTGCACAATACTGCAGTGGTCCTCGATGGAGAGGATGATGGGATAGCTGCGTGCAAACACCAAAGTGTTGATGATTGCATAACACACATTCAGAAGATTCCCGTATGAAAACATCACACAAGCACACAGAGAACTGGTGTGTGCAGACGCCACACTCACTCAGACGTAACGAACCGGTAAACTGAAGTGCTCTTTTAACTTAACCAAACGCATTCTATATGAGATAAATCAGATATACATCAAATAAACACAATATTACAATGTACAATTGCACAAAAGGCTGCAAACGAACAGCGCGCATCTGAAGTGTCTCTGAAGGAAATAATGCATTATTTATCGGCTTTAAGATATCGGCCAAATTTTCTTATCAGGCCGATACCGATAACAGAAAAAATGAGCCGATATGGGCCGATACCGATATGGTGGCCGATATATCGTGCATCCCTAACGTTAGCCAGACATCTATTTGACGGGTTCATTTTCATATGGCAAGACATTCATGATATAGTGTGTGTGTGCGTGTACACATATATACATTATGTGTGTATATATATATATATATATATACACACACACACACACACACACACAGCATCTCCCAAAAGTGAGTACACCCCTCACATTTCAGCAACCATTTTATTATATGTTGTCAAGGGACAATACTATAGAAATTGGCTATATTTTAGAGTAGTCAATGTGCAGTTTGTATAGCAGTACAGAATTACTGTCCTCTAAAAATAACTCAACATGCAGCCATTGTTGTCTAAATAACTAGCAACAAAAGTGAGTACACCCTAAGTGAATATGTCAAAACTGTGTCCAAAGTGTCAATATTTTGTGTGAGCACCATTGTTATCTAGCCCTGCCTTAATCCTCCTGGGCATGGAATTCACCAGAGCTGCGCAGGTTGTTGCTGGGATCCTCTTCCACTCCTCTATAATGACATCACGGAGATGCTGGATGTTAGACACATGGCGCTTCTCCACCTTCCGTTTGAGGATGCCCCACAGGTGCTCAATGGGGTTTAGGTCTGGAGACATACTTGGCCACTCCATCACCTTCAGCTTTCTCAGTAAGGCAGTTGTCATCTTGGTGGTGTGTTTGGGGTCGGTATCATCCGCTTCAGAATATCACAGTACATGCTGGAATCCATGTTTCCCTCAATGAACCGCAGTTCCCCAGTACCAGCAGCACTCGTGCAGCCCCAGACCATGATGCTACCACCACCATGCTTGACTGTAGGCAAGACACAATTTCCTTGGTAATCCTCACCAGGGCGTTGCCACACATGCTGAACACCATCTGAGCCAAACAAGTTTATCTTAGTCTCATCAGACCACAGGACTTGTCTTCAGCAAACTGTTTGTGGGCTTTCTTGTGAGCCAGCTTTAGAAGAGGCTTCCTTCTGGGATGACGGCCATACAAACCGACTTGTTGCAGTGTGCGGCGTATGGTTTGAGCACTGACAAGCTGACCTCCTGCTTCTGCAACCTCTAAAGCAATGCTGGCAGCTCTCATGTGTCTGTTTTTTGAAGCCAGCTTCTGTACCTGATGCACAGCACGAGGACGCAACTTCTTTGATCGACCCTTGCGAGGCCTGTTCCGAGTGGAACTGGTCTTAGAAAACCTCTGTATGAACCTGGCCACTGTACTGCAACTCAGTTTAAGGGTGTTACAGATCTTCTAATAGCCTAGGCCATCTTTGTGGAGAGCAACAATTCTAATTCTCCGAATTCTCAGAGATTTCTTTGCCATGAGGTGCCATGTTGAACATCCAGTGGTCAGTATGAGAGAATTGTACTCAAAGCACCAAATTTGAACTGCTCTAATACAAGATACACAAATTTGTATGGTCTTGTCAAGCAGACAAAAACATGAACATGATGAATAGGACATGTGGCTTTGCATGGTTAAACGACATGCAGCTGTTATCACTTAGGGTGTACTCACTTTTGTTGCCAGCTATTTTGACAATAATGGCTGTATGTTGAGTTATTTTCAGAGGACAGTAATTCTGTACTGCTATACAAGCAGCACATCGACTACTCTAAAATATATCCACGATTCATTTCTATAGTATTGTCCCTTGAGAAGATATACTAAAATGTTTGTTGAAAAGTGAGGGGTGTACTCACTTTTGTGAGATACTGATATATATATTTATTTATATTTATACACATTTATTATGTCTTTGGGAATAAGATGTTTGTACACAATAAGAACGTAGCACTGCATCATGAGGAAATACATTCTAACAGGGAAGATTTTATGTTAACATGATTATTGTTTCTCTTAGAAATCGGTCCAAAACCTTTTCCCATTATCCAACATGTTTGTTCTTTAAGAAGGAATCATTTGATACTCTAACTAACCAACCAACCAAATCATTTTCCAGCATCTAAGATATTGATTCTTTAAAGGGGGATTCATTTTATTCTCTAACTAACTAACTGACTAACCAACTCTTTTCCCCAGCATCTAACACTTCTTCTTCAAACTGTTATTTAAGGGGGATTAATTTTATACTACAACTATCCAACATACCAACAAACTAACCAACCAATCCTTTCCCCATAATCTATCATTCTGGGTTGAGGGGGATTCATTCAAGACTGTAACTAACCAACCAATCAAACAGTTCCCCCATCACCTAAAACTTTGGTTGTATGAGAATGATCAATTTTATACTCTAAATAATTGACCAACTAACCGACTAACCAACCCCCATCACCTAACATTTTGTTTCTTTGAGGAGGTATTCAATTTATACACTAACCAGCTACTTAATCAATGGATACCCAACTATCAAAATGGATGAATATAAATTATCTAGAGATCACACATTACTGTCTTTTGTCTGTCTGTTGATAACTTATTTGGAATAGTTACTTGATACCTTCAGAGAGAGAATTTTAATAAACACACAGCCTCTTGATTAATCAGCACTGGATGTTTCTGAAACTGTCTGGATGTTAATGAAACTGACTGATACTGAAACTGCATGTCACTGAAACTGCATGTCACTGAAACTGACTGGATATTACTGTGAAAACGCATGTTACTGAAACTGACTGGATATTACTGTGAAAACGGATGTTACTGAAAACGCATGTTACTGAAACTGACTGGATATTACTGTGAAAACGGATGTTACTGAAAACGCATGTTACTGAAACTGACTGGATATTACTGTGAAAACGCATGTTACTGAAACTGACTGGATATTACTGTGAAAACAGATGTTACTGAAAACGCATGTTACTGAAACTGACTGGATATTACTGTGAAAACAGATGTTACTGAAAACGCATGTTACTGAAACTGACTAGATATTACTGTGAAAACAGATGTTACTGAAACTGCCTGGATTTGCCTGCATGTTACTGAAACCAACTGGATCTGCCTGGATGTTACTGAAACCGCCTGCGTGTTACTGAAACCGCCTGCGTGTTACTGAAACCGCCTGCATGTTACTGAAACCGCCTGCATGTTACTGAAACCGCCTGCATGTTACTGAAACTGACTGAAATGTACTGAAACCTAATGTTACTGAAACTGTCTGCATGTTACTGAAACGGCATGTTACTGAAATGCCATGTTACTGAAACTGACTGCATGTTACCGTTACTGAAACTGACTGCATGTTACTGTTACTGAAACTGACTGCATGTTACTGAAAATGCATGTTACTGCAAACATACTGAAAATACACAAGAGCAGCAGACGGACTCCAGCTGAATCGAGTCCATTTCTTAGTTTTGTTTTGCTCACATCAGTGTGCAGTTTAGAGGACGTACTGGCCACGCATCTACTCACGTGTTGTGGGACGAAGAGATCCAGTAGTGCGACAGGGGGTTGTTCATGTCCTCTGGCCTCACCTGATCGAGCTGCACGTCCCAGATAGTGTTCTCTTTAGAGAACAGATACGTGAGGAACTGAGAAAGACCGCAAAACACAGAACATGATGTTTATGTTAAAAAGCAAGCACGCATGAGTTAGTACTCCGCACTGCTCAACTGTCCAACACCAAAACGGTCTTTCATGAAAGAGTACAAAATAGGACATGGAAGTCCATGTTTCTGGTCTTTTTCAACAAAGTGAAGGAAACATTAACTAGAAAAAATGGTTCTTAAAAGACAGGAGGTCAAAATATATATTAAATAAGCCATTTTGTTTTCTATTTATTTTACAAGAGTTCATATATTGTTACAAACTGTTTAAAAATAAGCTTTAAAAAAATTGCAGTCAAATCTCAATATGTGTGTAAAAATATCTACTCCAATTAGTAAAAAAGTGGAACATGTGTTAAACACAAATTTATATAAACAGTTTGCTCAGGGACGTCAATATTAACCCCAGGCAATAAATCATTCAACATGAAAACAGTATAATACAATATAAACTCTCAATATATGCATATACCTCATTTAAATATTTATTTTAAACAGCAGATGGAAATTCAAACACAACTAATTAAGGTCAGAAAGAGGCAGATCAAACAAAGATCTGAGGCCACACAGCAGGATGTGGTGAAGTGGTTAAAACGTGCAACTGCACATTTATGGGTTTCATTCCCAGGGAACTTAAAAAATGTGTACCCAGAATGCACTAGTCACTTGGCATTCATGTTTATGTAAGCATCACCTCGTCTTGATGGAAGTATGGCTGCTCGATCTCTCGTAGAGGATCCTTCAGGTAGTGGAGCATGAACTCCTGCACCTTATTATTGTCTGTAGCCCAGAGCTCCTAAAGACACAAACACAAACACACACACACACAATTACACAAACCAGACATTATTTACACGTTAATTGTAATAACATGAGAAGTGAATATCTAACCTTCTGATGTTCAATTAGGAAGTTCTGGAAGTCCTCCAGTGAGATCTTCTGCTCAGGTCTCTCAATAAGCCTGTAAGAAACACACAGATCAGTGTTTCAGCATCACATACGGAAACCCAAGAGATGTTCTGGGATGTCAGATAAAATACAATAAATGACCATATACCAATAGGTATAACTGTGCACAATCAGTAAAAAAATTAATTAAACTAAAAACAAACAAAAAAATGCATAAAAAAAACTAAAAAATAAATTAATAAAAATAAAACAAGGTAATTGCATCTAACAATTTTAACCTCACAATTCTGACTTTCTTCTTCAGAATTGCTTGATGTAAACTCGCAACTGACTAGATTTAGATAAGCCAGCTCAGTCATTTTCAGTCAGCTGTCAAAATCAGTTGCGCTATCAGGGGAGCGCACTTTGTTCGGTTTCTCTACACAATCCATTCACAATCTGAAGAAAAGTTTTGTTTGTCTAAGAGGACCAAACGTTCACATATACAGTTTCAGGAACGGCAAACACGAGTGTAAAAATTACACAAGTGAATCGGCTAAATTGTGCTGCGACTCACTGCTGTGATTGACAATGATAAAGCAACAGACGGAACAAAACATCTGACGAGCCGCTGTCAAAAAGAGCTGTGCATTCAGTGATTCAGACTCAATTCAGAGTAACAAAACTACAGCAGCAGCAAGTCTGTTTTACAGTTAAGATAAAACTTAAAAATGTAGTTAAATTAAATCTAAAAAATATTTCAAAATATGCAACGCATTATTATTTAATTAATTTAGTTATACCATTAATAATTAAGTTATTTAATTTGTGGTTACATAATTTGCCCTTCTAGGCTGTTGGTGTCTGGGCTTATTTATTTATTTATTTTTTAAATGGCATTAGACTTTGTGACTTCCTGAACTTGCTATACTTTATACTCCAGTACAGTCAAATTTGTTATAATAGTCATTACATAAATCCAAAAGCAAGACATGAAAAAAAAAATCTAGGGAGTTGAAATGACAGCTGAGCTCATGAGTGATCCTCTGCTGCCATCTACTGGTTATAATGCTAATTTCATGACATTTTCATCTTAAAAGTCTTTGTTTTCCGCCATTTTTTCATGTCGTCTTCATGAATGAAAAGTGATTTTTACTGCACAGCTGTAGAGTTGAGAAATAATAAAGGCTTTAAAATGTTATCGGTGTTTATGTAAAATGTGTTCATGACTATGAAGGTCAGTTATTGATTATCAAGGATATCATTATGATGTCATTTACGAGACAGCATCACTAGCTAGTTAACGTTAGCCGAAACCGTTACGATAGTGTTTCGTTGTCAGCATTTACGTCTCTGGGTACTCCTGGGATTCGCAGACTCGGCATATCAAATTATATGTTGTTATATGTGTTTAAATAACATGAAACTGTATGTTAACGCCAATATCATTATTTACGGTGTTGCAATTATTGTGTTTCTCGGTTTCTGACAAGAGCGAGGCAGGAGAGGTTTCTGTGAGGGTCTCAACACACACACATATATATATATATATATATATATATATATATATATATCACAACACCAAACGAGCTTCACCGGAAGTTTACGAGCTGGCTTATCTTTATGCAGAAGCTCTAAAGAAAGCGCATTTGGTCAATTATGAAGTTAGATTGAAAGGTCGCAATTACTCGTTTTTTTCAGAGGCTTTCACAAAATCCCAATAAGTTCTTGTCAGCCCCACATTAAATATCCCTAAATATTCTGTTTTACCTGTAAATGAATCATACTGTATTATGGAAGTTTAATGTGTTGTAAATGCTATTTCATAACATCTGCAAATACTTCAGCTTGAAAATAAGAGAGCGAGTAAATACCTCTGCAGCAGTGGAATCTCCATCTATAAAAACAACACATTCACATAATAAACATTTTGTTCTAATACAATTAATACCTGATGTAAATGCACCCATTTCACAACCACTAAACCTCTAACCTCTAAACCTGAACCATTTATAGGCCCGTCAGACGCTAATGAACTGATGTGATGAGATATCAAACATCCACACAAGTGATGCACTCTACACTCACACTCTCTCACTCTACACACACACACTCACTCTACACACACACACACACTCTGTCTCACTCTATACACACACACACACACACTCTGTCTCACTCTATACACACACTCACTCACTCTACACACACACTCACTCACTCTACACACACACCCACTCACTCTACACACACACACACACACACTCACTCAACACACACACACAAACACACTCACTCTAC